TTTTCTACTATTATACAGGCCATAATATTATTGGTATAACCAATTTTTCTTTAGTAGGTTTTTTTTTTTTAACGCTTTTGCCTTTGTATGTAATGGTAAGACTCTTGTTACACGTGTCTTTTTGTTGGCGTGTTCTAAATTCTACCATTACCATTCAGTTAAGTTTTGCTACTAAAAGGAATGAAGAGTGCACTGTTCTTTGAGATGTGGGTCTTCAATGAGAGGTAGTACTTGTTTTACTGTTATGGAACCAAGTCTAGTTTCAGGAAAATGTAAAAAGTTAGTTGCTTTTGAGCATTCAATCTTTTTCTTTGATGTGTTATGTTTCATTTCTCTCTTTCTTAAAAGTTGTTGTTGCGTGGACTGGTATTAAACTTGAACTTGAACCATTTTAATCAATAACGTGTCTGTACTTGTTGTGCAGCTTTTATCTTTGACTAAATCACACACTTTGTGTTTCGTGGATCAAATTTATTATTATTTTTCTTGTTTCATTTCTGTTCGTTGTGTGCTTTCTCTTTTTTCAAAAGGTTTTATTGCATGGATTGATACTAAACTTAAAGCATTTTAATCAATAATACCTTTTATCTTAATTAAAATGCATACTTTGTTTGTCTTTGGTGGATTAAATTTATCATAGTTATATTGTGTTTTGTTCTATGTCTATTATTATTTAGTCATACTCATTGTGACGGGGCGAAAGTATAAGCTTGTTTCCCTGGTGGACAATGTAAACGCAAACTATAGGTTTTTTTTTTCTCCCTTTTTCTTGTATTTAGAATACTATATTTCTTGGTTGTAACTGTGTACTTACCGTTTTTAGGATTCAACCTTCATGCTCTTACAAGTTTCATTTTTATTCTTGAAATTAGTTTCCAGTGGGTCGTATCCACCGTCATCTCAAGTCTAGGACTTCTGCAAATGGGAGAGTTGGGGCCACTGCTGCTGTTTACTTGGCTTCTATCCTTGAATACCTGACTGCTGAGGTTCTTGAGTTGGCTGGAAATGCGAGCAAGGATCTGAAAGTGAAGAGAATCACTCCAAGGCATCTGCAGCTGGCTATTAGAGGGGATGAGGAGCTTGACACCCTTATAAAGGGTACCATTGCTGGAGGTGGTGTCATCCCTCACATTCACAAGTCCCTAATCAACAAAACTACCAAGGATTAGTTATGTCTGATTTCAAATAGTTGTTGACCTTTGAGTACTTTTATGATCTGTTATGTGACTTGGTTTTATTGTAGGCTTTGTTTAATCTGTCTAGTAGATCTGGTCAGTATATATGCTGTAACTCTCTAGGCTTGTTCCTTTGAACTTGGGATCCTTGTTTAGAGTAGGGATGATGTTTGTTGAATAGTTTTAACTGTGGTTTCCCTAGATATTTTATCTGATTCTGGCTGTGAAGTTTAGTGTCTGCATTTGACATGATTGTGAAATTGTTTTTTGTTTACTTGTAATGATGCAACCTTTGCTCTTATGCTTAGTCGCTTGAGCATTTTTCAATTATCGACGCGTAACTATTTCTTGAGATCAGGACTTTGTCTGGTGCCAAACTTCATGTCAGGGTCAGGTACGCTTTGGAAACAATTGTAGTCATCTAATAATGAATTGTTGTCCAATCATTCGTAGTTGGGCCTCAATACTTATATCCAATTTGGTAACCAGTCCTTAGTGGCATGAGCATGTGGGAAATTGCTTTCCATTGGAGTCCGTATTTATAGCATGTTAGTGTTCATTCGAGCTTTCCGAGCAATATGGAATTTGGGACAGATTTCACTAAACAATTGTAGGATTCATTTGTG